GGTGGGGTTAGGGGAATTGATTTTGTCATTTGGGAGTTGTAGTTGCTAGGATGTATAGTTCACATACAATCAAAGAGCATTCTGAACTCCACCAATGATGGAATGAAACCAGACTTGGCACACAGGACTCACATGACCGAGAGAAAATACTGAAAGGGTTTGGTGGGCATTGACCTTGAGTGTTGGAGTTGTAGTTCACCTACTTCCTGAGAGCACTGACGACTCAAACAATGATGGATGTGGACCGAACTTGGCACGAATACTCAATATGCCCAAATGGGAACACTGGTAGAGTTTGGGGAAAAAAGTGCTTGACCTTTGGGAGTTGTAGTTGCTGGGATTTATAGTTCACCTACAATCAAAGAGCATTCTGAACTCCACCAACAATGGAATTGAACCAAACTTGGCACACAGAACCCCCATGACCAACAGAAAATACTGTGTTTTCTGGTAGTCTTTGGCAACCCCTCTGACACCTCCTCGCACCCCCCCCCCCCCCCCGGAGACCTGATCCCCAGGTGTTGCTGTACTGCTTTAGACAAATGTCCACCATAGTGCAAGTGGTTTGAGTGTTGGAGTAAGGCACCAGGAAATAGGGTTTGAACCGTTTAGGTGACCTTGGACAAGTCACACTCTCTCAGCTTCAAAGCATGGTAATGGCAAACCTTCTCTGAAAAACTCTTGACAAGAAAACCTTACTATATGGTCACCATAAATTGGAGTTGACTTGAAGGCACATAACAGCAACACATTTTAGGCTCGTCAGCTCGTAAGTGGTGCTATATGGCGGTTGCTATTTTGTGCAGTGAAAGGATTAGCTCTAATTTGTCATCAACAGACCTTCCTAGTGACTGGTAGTGTGGTAAGGAGACAGGTCATATGATAGGGCCTGGGAACTGTTTTCCCATAGAGGCAATTTTGGTTGCTATATTATAAGAAACAGCCCATTTTGTGAATAACTAATAGTTTGAATATGAGTTTTGGTCATTCTGATCTTCCTACTGAGAAAGAAAGACTACTAAATGGTTAAGTGTGAACAGTACAGGTGTGCTCTATATATTATTACCTTCATCTCTAATAATGATTTAGTTTAATATAAAGAAAACCCAAGGTGTATGTGGGTGGAGAGATCTTTAACCGAAATGTGTTTCTAAGTAATGGCTGATTTTCATGAGATAAGGATTTAGTAGGTTAAACATTATCCAGAAATGAATAGCCAATCTTTTGTGCATATTTACATATTGCTTTCACAGCTAAGTATTTGAATGCAAGCCAGACCAAGAACTGTGATAAGAAAGAAGACTTTAGTTTCTAGTCACTGTTAACATGGAGCATGCAATATTTGTAAAATTTTATTTGAGTAATTTTTTTTCTATTTATATGAAGTTGGTCAAAACTTTTGATTTGAATGTATTCTATATTAATGCACCAGGATGCACTTGCTGAATTGCCCATAAATGCATTTTGCTGATTGCTTTCTCAGTACAGTCAATATCACCTCCAGATGATTTAAGCTTCAGTTTTGAGATGTTCCAGCCAGCGTGGTTAGTAGGGCAATGATTTGAAGTCCAAAAAGAAAAGATCGAGAGCCACTGGCATAAAGCCTACATTCTAATTTAGTAAAAAAATTTCTTGCAAAGTTGTTTGAAGTGCAACCCTGGCCATGGTGGCAGAGAGTTGTGGCATTAAGAAGGGAAATTTCCAAGGAGCCTAAATATAGGTATATAGTGTTAAGTACATTTCAATAGAAGATTTCAGTATAGTGTTTCAGAACAATTTCAATATTTCAGTAGAAGATTTATATCTGTTCCTGGTATGTTTCAACGAAATAAAGAAACACATTTAGCCCTTGGGCACACATTTAGCCATGGTCCCTAGTATACTGGGGGGAATGTAATTCCTTTATCAGATAGTTTGAGATGCTGTCTTTTAGAGCATAGGCTTTCTTAGTTTTGAAAAGGGGGCACATAGCTAGTTTGGCTGCCCAGGTAAAATTAAATGGCGAGGTATGGACATACTCTCTATTTTTCTTGCTCACTTGATTTCTATGAGCAAGTTGCAAGTTATGTAATAAGTTTGTAAAATTATTTGGATTTGTTAATGTTGAATTTCTGCATGCAAATATAACCAGAGGAAACACTAGTTCAATTTTTTCTGTAACAGTTTAAATCATGATTAGTATTTCCTAGATCCCATTTTATGTAATGCAAACCAAGAGCTTAAGTAATACTGAATTGCTCAATGTGTTGGCATTTTCCTTCCAACTGAGGCAACTATGTGTGATATATCCAGGTGGGACAAAAAAAAACTTGGAGAGCCATTGACAGTTCAAGGTTAGAAGTGAAAATTCTGCACCCCTCTGAGCTACAACTCCTATCAACTCTATCCAATATGGTTTCCTTTCTAGAGCATCACAAGTTGCCCAGCTTTGTAGAAAATACTGCGTTAGATGAACAATTTATCTGATCTGGCTTGTTTATTTATTTATTTGTAATATTTTTATCCCATCCTTCTCAACCTCCGAAGAGGGACACAGGACAGTTGCCAACAGGCACCATTCAATGCCGATACAATATAATAACATAGCATAAAACACAATTAGCATAAATTAAAACAGTTATAAATATACATTAAAACAGTTTGCCAGTTCAGTTCAGGGTTAGAAGTGACTATTCTGCACTTTTAAAGAGGCTTTCAAATTTTTTCCACATTACTTTTGATTCTCACTGAGGATTTCTGGAATGTATTTTCAGGTCTGACATACATATTGTTTTCCTTCTGTTAATAAAACATGCTTATGAGTACTTAATGCTAAAAAGGGTAAGTTTTGCTTAATGTGAAGAGAGCCTTATTTCCGTGCTTCTTCACAACTGACTTTGGAAGGTTATCTGTTCAGCCTCAGTGTAGAAGACTGTTCAGCCTGTCTTATATATCTGAAAACTCCTAAAAGAGGTAATCTCAAGTGGTGAGGGTGAAGAGGTAACTGTGTTATACTCATTTTATGAGCAAGTTTTAGGCTTTCAATAAAAAGGAAAATATTTCAAACTTCCAGTTTTCCACATAAAAGGTTTCTTTTCTTTCCCTAAAAACATGACCCTTTCCTGAGACACTGCTTTCAGTTGATCTGTTTACCCCTGTGTGCATTTTCTCAGTGGGGAATTTTCCAAAGGAGCTACAGCTTAACTGATGTCTTTTCCATTATGCAAAAACAAAGTGGTATGTTAAGATAGCTCAGATGCTTGGCTTACCTGCAGAGATAAAAAGTAGCACAGATGAGTGTCAAGAACAGAACACTGCACCAAGAGTTCACGGGTGTGGGAAGGCATACTACTCTTTATAAAGACTCAAAATCCAAACTGGAAAAATGGAGCAAATGTAGCCTGTTGATTTTAGCTGCAAAGCTGTATGAAATAGTTTCATCTCACTGGCTTCTTGGGGACTTTGGATAGACCTTCTCAGTTGCTACTCTCATACTGGAATAGCTCTCTAGGGAGGGTAGGATTTCTGCCTCATCACACAGATCCGACATGGATCTGGATTATGTTTTGGTTGGCATGATTTTAATTGTGGATTTTAATAATTCTGCTTTTAATTGTAATTATTTATTTGATATATGTGTGTGTGGCATCAAATTGCTGCCTGTTGTAAGGCTGTCTTGAGTCCCCTCCGGGGTGAGAAAAGCGGGATATAAATATGGTAAATAAAATAAACATTTTGCTATTCTAGCAGGTATTTAGGAATTGATTGCAATGGGATTTAATTGTTTATTTGTGTTGTGGTTTTTTTAAACATTTTATCTTTTAATAAATGCTTTATGTTGATTCTATACATTTTAATCACTTTTTAAAATAATGTTAACATATGCATTACTGATGTTTTTCTGTGATTTTTTTCTGATTTAGCTATTCTATATACCTCCTTGAGTCTTAATATTGGGGGAAAGCAATATCTAAATGATGAGGGATCTTTAAAGTCTGAAATGGCACTTGGAGGGGGATGTCACACACACACACACACCACTGTATACAATATTTTGGGCATCAGTCTTGAAGATAATAGAGTTGTCATTGAATTAATCCAACTACCAACTGAAAGCACTTCAGAATGCCCAGATTGGGAGTGCAAACTTTTTTTTTACTTCTGACATATAGGTATCAGCACGTTTATCAACAAATAGTGAAGAATACATCCATTGGCTTATTGGTAGAAATACCTTCAGTGACATGTTATTATTAGTCTTAAGTCTGGGTTTCTGCCTCCAGTATGAGAAGCTCATTGTATTATCACGATTGTAATGTCACAGAAGGCGTGTAAATTGTACAGTTTCTACTTTTCACATCAATCATTCTTCATGGTAGATGGGCTTTACTTGATATTTTTGTGCAGCTTATAAGGATGGAGGTATAATATTTGACATTACTCGCATTCCATTTAAAGTAGAAGCAATAGCCCTTCGCAGTCCCTTGATGACAAGCTCAAGTTGGTTTCCAGTGAACAAGACTCATTTAATTGTAAGTGTAAACAAGAAATTGTGTTCATGTGCTATGGATTAATCCATGAAAATATTCCTAAAAGATTTTCAAGCATACAAAATATGTCAGAAAAATGTGACCCAGTGAACAACTGCTTAACAGCTTGAAACAAAGTGAGATGGTCTATTCTGGTCAAGGTTGAGAAAAGTGACCAGTAATTTCTTGCAATCCAGAAATATTGGAAACAGAAAAGGTAGGTGATGAGGAGAAAACACAAACAATCCATAAGAGATAGCAACAGTCTGAAATGTTGTTACTTATTGCAACAAAGGCACAAAGATGGCAGGATGAGTTCAAAGAAGCATACCTCTCATTGGAATGTTTCCCTAAGTTCCAAATTTTTCCGTTTTGGGTTTTTTTTCTTGTGTTGTGATCCATGATGGTGAGATCTTGCCTTAAGTGTGTGTGTGTATCTGTCTGTGTTGTGCCTTGCTGTGTCTTGATGAGTTACCCGGTTCTGTCTTGCAGCCCTCAGAATCCAAGTCCAACGTCACCCCTTTCACCGTCCTGGCCTATGTTCTCCGCACCATCCAGTCCTATGCCCACCTCCTCTACGTCCAGCGACTCATCCCCCATCAGGTCTGTTGCAGGTTTGAGGGTTTTGTTTTGCTTGATTTTGCTGCACTGCTGCTTTTATGTTTTCAGTTTACATGCCTTTCCCCTGCCTTTCTCAGAAGTCCTCACTCTGGCCCAGCTTGCTTTAGTTTCTAGACTGCACCATCCCATAGTTGCTATCCAAGATCAACACAGAGGGAAAAAAAACACTGTGACCCTTAGAAGAGTATGGCTTGAATTGCCTAAGCACTGTTTTCCTTAGCTTTCTAGTTATCCCAGCTGCACGACCTCACCTTTTTGGAGCATTCCTTTCAGCTATGAGATCTATTGGTTTTTGAATACGTACAGTTGGATTTCTGCTTTACTTTTGCTTAATGATTGGCTTTTCTGGAGACTCACAAAATTCATCCCTGCAACAGGGAGGTTTTCATTATCATTTCCAAGTATCTAAAATTGCAGGAAAAGTCTGTGCAATTTTTAAAAAGCCTTCAGTCCAAATTTCCTTCCCACACATTCAGTTGTGCCAATGAAAATAACTATATAGAGCGTTCAAGTTGTTTGAACACCACATGTTATTTGTTATATTTATAACTTAAGAAATTATACATCTGATATGGATTTCTTCGAAACTGACACACTGTGCGGATTCAAAAGCCAATGCACCTGCTAAAATGAAGGACAATTAAGCCAAACAAATGAACTAACCTGCAAAAGACCAGTGATTTTTATTACATTCTTGACAGCTTTTAAATGCTTGTCCACATCACAGCAACCACAGTGCAAATCTATCCTCTGTTAGTTCCCAAAGGTGGTACCATCTATTCAAATGGGATGGGTCCTTCTACTGATTGGCAACCTAGTTTATATTTTGAGGACAATTGTCTTGTCCATGGCAAAAACATTGTTCCTAGATTTTCTTGTGAACTTAAATGTTGGATTTACTGTCATTTTAATCCATGAAAATATTCCTAAAAGATGTTCAAGCATGCAAAATGTGTGAGAAAAAGGTTGGTACTCCTTTGCCATGTGTGTACTAGTAAATGAGGAAGGAAGGTAACCAAAATGGAGCCCAGTTTACATCTCTGCTGAAGACGACTAATAGCAAGAAATGCAAAATGTCATAAAGATACATGTTTACTTCTTTATTTGCCATTTAGATTTAAGAATTACAAAATGACTTATATCACTAAAAACCTTTAACATACACAAATACAGTCAGCCCTCTACGTTCTCTTAGGTTATGGGTTCAGGACCTCTTCCATATGTGGGGAAAACAAATTAGAAAACACTAATTTTTTTACCTGACAGAATCCATCTCTAGGAATTCTAATGTTTTCTAATGCAACTCCTTGCCCAGTTCCTGGTGAAGTTGATTGCAGATCTGTGTTGAAGGACCTAGGGATGTATAGAGAGGCATTCTCTCTTGAAAAGTCAATTCCTCCGGTACAGTTTTATAGTCAATGTCCATTGGAAATTGACCATAGAATCACATTTGAGGACCTAGAAGTTGCTCTAGAGACTATATTAATCAAATCTACAAATAATAAAACGTGCAGAAGTTAAACCCGGAGATGTGTTGGGGTTGACTATATACAAACCAACCCTTTATAAAGTTCGAGACATTAAATTAAGGTTTGGGTAAACAGAGGAAGTTTGCTTGAATAACTACATTTTGGAAACAAAAAAAAAGATGGAGCACCTTGAGTTACAATGAGAGAACATTATATATCATAGGTTTCACCATATTACATGCCCTGCTTCAAACAATGGGACTGTGTGGCACCAGGATGGCCTTTCCCAATTATCTATCTCAGTGGTTGAAATTTAAAGTGGTGAAATGAAATTTCCTAGATAACCATGTTCTGAGTTGTTTAGTAGCGAAGAGACATGCAGTTTCAGCAGAGTATTACCAAGAGGCCGCCCCACCAAAAAAATAAAAGCCAGATAGTAATATTCTGCACCAACTGCAGTTTCTGGACCAGCCTTAAGAGTATCTCCATAGGAGCATATTGCAGTAATCCGACCTTGCTTGAACCATAGAAGTTGCCCTTGCTTGGACACATAGTAGTTTAGTTTTCCCTGTCCAAGAAAGGGGAAGGATACAGAGATAGAGAGATGGAACTAAGATGGATGAATACGAAATCCATATTCTCTACCCTTTTCTACTGGGTATTGTGATGGTTCCCATTGACCATGCTCCAGTGGAAATCCAAGAGTGGAGGCTTCTGTATTGATAGATTAGATCTCAAAGAGCACCAGTAGTAAATCAATGCTCTGTATATTAGGATCCTGAACTTGGATTCTTCTCTTACAAACAATTAATTTTAGTTCCAGCCTCATCTAAGATGGGTAATGAATATTTACCATTATAATTGGTTAGAGATTTTAAAAGTAACTCTTCGTTTCTATATTCCTCAAAAGTAGCAAAATTGTTCCTTTTAACTTAGGTTTTATTTAGTAGGGGCCATTTGCCTGTGATACAAAACTCAGTATCTTCCCATTCCCCTCATCCTCAGCTTGGCTCCTACCACAAAGCATGAGGCAGCAGCATGAGGCATGGCATGAGCCAGCTCTTGATCTATGCACCATTCTACCTCTGTCATTTAGAGATGCTCCCACCTCATTTAGTACCTTTAGAAATCACATTAAGTATCCCAGTGGCATTGGGATTGGGATAGAAGTTATCCTTTGTGAAGTTACAACCGTTGTATCTTTGTTTTTAAGGAAAGGAGCGAATTGCAAGTAATTAGCTGATTGCAACTACTTTATTATTTTTTAAAGCTATATCCTGCTCTGTATATATAGATAGAGGTGTCTCCTCAAGTACTGAAGCCACAAAGACTTTGAAGACGAGCACCTGTATTCAGACTACGAGCAAATTGGGAGCCAGCATGTTATGATTTCTATGTAATGTGCTGGTCAGCAGCCTAGGTGCAGTGTTTTGCACTAGCTACAGTTTCTGAGTAATCCTCAATATCTGCCCATGTAGATTGCTTTACAGTATTTGTGAAGTTACTACTCATAAACTGCTTTGACTAGGTCCAGGAAAGGCTGGAGAGTGGACCAGCTGTGGAGTTATTTGCGTGACCATAGCTATTCAGTACATTAGGAATCAAACTAACTAAGGGCCTGTTAAACAGCCTCTTTATTGCGAAAACTTCTGCAATAAAAAAGGGGCTGTCCAGAAGACGTTCTGGACAGTCTTGCATTAATTCGGCACAAACTAGGAAAACCCAGGTTTGTGCCCAATTAATTTGTTAGTGGATTTATTCCGTGTTTCTTGGAAGGCACGGGATAAATCCAGTGCTTCTGGGGCTGGATTACACAGTACTGCAGTCCAGACATCATTCCCTCAATTTACTGGGCTAAATAAGCCCGGTAAACTGTGGAAATACCCACCCCTCCCCCCAAACCCCCAGACCCCTTAGAAAAGTAGTAAAAACGTACCTATCCTCCATTGGAAGCCTCAGCAAGCTCTGACGGCACGTAGAAATGATGCGCCAGGAGAGCGGGGGGGGGGAGAGAAAAATGCCTCCTCACTCCCCTGGTGTATCAATTTTTTGCGCCGGGAGAGCTTGCTGAGGCTTCTAATGGAGGATAGGTAAGTTTTTACTATTTTTCTAAGGGGTCTGGGGGCTTGGGGGGAGGGGCTCTGGATGTTCTCTTGAGCTAGTCCCGAGACAGCATCTGGACAACCATGCCAGAAAGTGTGTGCTTTTTGGCGTGGGTGCGGACAGTCCCCCACAAACATCTGCGTTTTTTAACTCGGATGTTTGTGGGATAAAGGGCTGTCTGGAACCACCCTAATAGATTATTTGCCAGACCAGATCTGCTCTCCATCCCTGCAAACTTGCAGTACTGGTGAAATCTGTTCAGTTGATGCGAATACACTATCAAAGCTGAGTTTCACCCACTCACCCAATGTTTCTGATCTTACTCCAATTATGTGACTGCTACTTTCTGATTTCAATGTTTGCTATCTATGCTAAAGGCCAGGAAAGTAAGCCTCAGTTGAGCTCTGGCCTATGACAGTCTTCTGATCAAGTCAAGCCTTGGGATTGTTCATATTGTGATGACTCTAATCAGGAAGAATAAGTTGCCGAGGTTATGAACCCATCGAACACTTCCTGTAATATTCATGTTTTGCAGCCTTGTTTACTCTGTATCTCATAGTTTGGATTCAGATCCCAGCAAGGGTTGGGTGAGTGGCCCTGGGGAGCTTATCTCAACCTTGGTTTCCCATCTGTTCACTGAGAACTGCCTCGCTTGCTCTTTGAAGGCAAACATTCCAAGGATTGTAAAACATACATGAAACAAATTAAATATATTGTATTAAATATTATTTAAGTTGCCTTCCAACTCTTATTGCTGCAATAAATGGAGTCAATCTTGTCAGCTTTTTGTAATGAAGCCTTAGGCTTATCTATACTATTCAAAATGTATTTCATTATATAATAGTCTTACATTTTCTACTGCATACACCTGGAGTTAGGTGCGCCTTATCATAAAACCCCAATGAACAGGGACTTAACTTTTGTAATAAACGGCAAAAGTTTGCCATTTGTAATAAATGGCAAAAAGCCCAGTGATAGCTAATGGAAATGTGTATGTAATATATGTCTTCATATTTGTAATCCCCTATCTGCCATTTGTCTAGGTTGCTGATCACTTGCAGTGCTGCATCGGGCAACCAGAATCCACTCAAATTTCAATGCCTGTTCCCCTAAGGAATGGTGTGGTGGTATATTTTGAAATCCAGGAGTTCAATTTGATGTCTCCTATAGCTGTATCACCAAGGAGGCTCTGTAATCATGCCCACTTGATTCATAGATATTCCCTTCATTCTATGATAAAGAAAACAAAACACAAATTAAATATAACTGCAATGCCTCCTAGGCACAGTTGCCTTGAAATGCATTTCATTGATCTCAGTGATGCTTACTTGTGACAGCATTAGTTTAGCTTGTAAACCACACTGAGCTTTAAGAAGGGGCATTCAGACATCTGAAAAGCAGTATTTAGAT